TTACCTTGTACACATTAATCCAACACTTGAGAGGGATGTAAGATTGTTTACCTTGTACACATTAATCCAACACTTGAGAGGGATGTAAGATTGTTTACCTTGTACACATTAATCCAACACTTGAGAGGGATGTAAGATTGTTTACCTTGTACACATTAATCCAACACTTGAGAGGGATGTAAGATTGTTTTCATTATACACATTAATCCAACACTTGAGAGGGATGCAAGATTGTTTTCATTATACACATTAATCCAACACTTGAGAGGGATGTAAGATTGTTTACCTTGTACACATTAATCCAACACTTGAGAGGGATGTAAGATTGTTTTCATTACATCCCTCTCAAGTGTTGGATTAATGTGTACAAGGAAAACAATCTTACATCCCTCTCAAGTGTTGGATTAATGTGTAAGCACACTATACCACAAATGCCAACTGTGCTGGGTGTAGTTAGGTAGTGTGGGGCTGTGTATGTGTTATAAGAGTGATAGTTAAATTCCATTCTTCCATCAGACAAAAGTTTATGGCAGGTGCTATTGATTAGGTGCCTTCTCTTTAGTTTGTCAGTTCAGAATTAGGAAAACGTTTGTACATCCACTAATGTTACAAAACAGTCATGGTTACGTACAGTTTGGATTTAATACAAATTCTACTTTATTTTTTCTCACCTAGATTAATGGTCAAAATTTAATGATTTTCTTTACAGAGGGAAAGGCAAGTTTTGATGTTACTTTCTTTCTGATCACAAACACAGGGTATTATATTTTTTTGCTGTAGACTGAAAGAAATTCCTGGCATATTTATTTATGGTAAACCTCTAATGAGTGTTGTGGCGATTGGCTCCAAAGAGTTTAACATATATCGTCTGACCAGTGCCTTGACCAAGAAGGGATGGAGTCTCAATATGCTGCAGTTTCCTAAAGGTTTTCACATCTGTGTCACAATGCTGCACACCCTGAACGGAGTAGCCGAACAATTTATTGATGATGTTCGTCAGTGTACAAAAGAAATAATGCAGGACCCTAAGGCTGTTGCTACTGGCACTGTGAGTATACAAGTCAATGTATATTAGTCTCCTTTTCAACTTCTCAGTTTTAAGCTATTCTGATTAAATGTCAATGACTCAACTTAGATTGTAGAAAATCAGAATGTTTTAAAATCTGTTTACGAGAAAGTTATCGATAAGTGGAAACAATTTTAGGATGATAGTGCTAATTAATGTGTATGGGGTATTTTAAATAAATTCAATGACAAAAACAAAGGTTAAACAAAAATATGTATGAAGGTTACCCTCCCTGGTGTTACAATATTGATGGTACAACCCAGACATTGTTGTTAGTCTTAGTGATGAAATAAGTTTACAGTTTATAAACTTTTTTCTTATGATAATTGAAAATGGTTTGTTAATGAACATTGTATCTAACAGATGAGCCAGTGAGTTTTTAAAACTATTTTATAGGCTGCTGTTTATGGAATGTCGCAAAGTATACCCGACCGCTCTTTGGTTTGTGTTGGTTTGTTAATGAACATTGTATCTAACAGATGATCCAGTGACTTTTTAAAACTATTTTATAGGCTGCTGTTTATGGAATGTCGCAAAGTATACCCGACCACTCTTTGGTTTGTTAATGAACATTGTATCTAACAGATGATCCAGTGACTTTTTGAAACTATTTTATAGGCTGCTGTTTATGGAATGTCACAAAGTATACCCGACCGCTCTTTGGTTAGTGTTGGTTTGTTAATGAACATTGTATCTAACAGATGATCCAGTGACTTTTTAAAACTATTTTATAGGCTGCTGTTTATGGAATGTCGCAAAGTATACCCGACCGCTCTTTGGTATCGGAAGTAGGATGGATTTTCCTGGATACTTGCTACAGTACTGATGTAACCAATGGCAAAATCTCTTCTTAAATGTTGAATTTTAAACTTATCGTGGACAGGGACATAAATATTGTTAATTGGTGAAATATCAAACATTTAATGAAAGATTGCTTATTTTTTAAGTTGTGATCTCTGTAATTTCTAGCTCCTTATTTTTGTCAGATTTTATAACAAATTAACTTATATTGTTGTGCTAAATTATCATTGCATATTATTTACATTATAAATTTAGTTCGTCATTCTAGTCAGTCTTTAAATGTTTCACACACACAATACCATTTAAAGAGTATTTAGAAACTTGTTTTTTGACAGATACTGTAATTTCAATGCAGTGCAGTTAAATTTATATACCATTCTTTATGTATTACTCTGTGCAATGGCACAGTCTTGTTTGACATTTTATCATGAACAAATTTTACTCCCAAATACCAGTCAAGAACAAAAAGCCAAATGTTTCGAGTAGGTTGAGGATCAGTATGAATTTTAAAATACTTGCATACGTTACTTTATCTAAGAGTGAACAGTTGCAAGATATTTAAGTTTTAATCAGTTACTTGGTAATAACTTTAAAGTAAATAAGGAGTTTGTGGTTGATAAAGTTTTTATGATTTCTGGACAAATGAAACTTCTAACTCGATCAATAAAAAGTGAAAATCTGTGCTCAAGTGTTGGATTAATGTGTACAATGAAAACAATCTTACATCCCAACATCCATCTCAAGTGTTGGATTAATGTGTGTAATGAAAACAATCTTACATCCCAACATCCCTCTCAAGTGTTGGATTAATGTGTACAAGGAAAACAATCTTGCATCCCTCTCAAGTGTTGGATTAATGTGTATAATGAAAACAATCTTAACCTCTACCACCTGCATACGTCCATACACAGCCCCACACTACCTAACTACACCCAGCACAGTTGGCATTTGCGGTATAGTGTGCTACCTCTACCACCTGCATATATCCATTCCTGGCCATGTATGGATCATTTCCAGAGCATGTAAAAAAGAAGATATAAAAAAACAATACATGCTTTTATCAGTGACTTGGTATTTTTGTCAGAGGTGTGCATGAAACATTAGTTTAAATGAGTTGTAATGATTACATCAAAATTGAAATATGCATATCATAAAATATTAAATGAAATTCTTTTATCCTTATAATACATTTGGCTTCCATACTTCGGAGAGTTGAACATTTTGATTTATGAGAATTATTTTAACCAAAGATTTTTGGATCTCTCATACATATTCTTTCAGATATTTCTTTCCAGTTTCTTAGGGTACACAATGAATGTCCTTTCCATGGGGAAATTAGGTGTGGAAACCAAGGCTGATGAGGTAAGATATTTGATTTTTTGTAACAGATTTGGAAATATGAGACTTGGCCCTTCCATCTTCTCATGACGAGACTTGGCCCTTCCATCTTCTCATGACGAGACTTGGCCCTTCCATCTTCTCATGACGAGACTTGGCCCTTCCATCTTCTCATGACGAGACTT